AGCATCATTTTTCCAAGAGATGAGCAAGTAAATTTAAGTAGTTTCCAAGTAGTAAGTACCTTGATTACCAAGGAGCAGTGGGATGCAAAGCTTGGCCAGTGGAAACAAATGATTGATAGCTTCCTCTTAACACTCCTGCCTTTATTTTCCTCTGCATGGCTCATTATTCTGCCACGTTAATTTAAGCTTTCTTATTGTATTGAATTAGGGCTTTAAATTCTCTTATCATCCCTATGGGAATCTTGATTGTTTATCTGTAGATGACAATAATTGTTTTTATCGATCTCCAAATGTAGAAGGTATAAAAAGTGCTATGGCTGATGGCCAGCTGGTACATAGTTAGCACTGCGTGCATGACTGACAAATTACAAGACAATATTTGGCCCCAGAGGAGACCCTCGAAGAATTTTTAAAAGCATCTGATAGTAATCCCTAGATCCCTTCTAGCTGAAAAGCATAAACAATTTCACATACGTCGGCTCAAGTCTTTTTGTTACTTTTATTGAACCTCCAGAGGTCTACTTGGGTGTAATTTATACATCCTCATCTCTAGCACACCCACCCAGCAGGAGTTTGGAGTGATGTAGCTACAAGAATTTCCAGAGTCAGTGCCCTCCAGGCCAGTGAATTCCATTAGGGACTCGGATCACCTGAGCAATTCTTCAGAAGAGTTTCTGAATTAATCTAGCAGTTGCCATTATGCCACTATAAGTATTCTGTAGATGACATTAGCTCCAAGTATTCTGAGGAGAAATCACTTTGCTATCCCCAGCATGTACTATGGGTAAGAAACCTCACATGATTTCACATCCCAAATTTACCAGAGGCACCAGAGAGGGAAAATGCAACTGTCTCATTAAAGTGCTGTTTTTAGGACGGGGCACTTAAGCAGTATGAGTCCCCGCAGTCAGAACCAAATGCAACACAGCTTACATGAAGATTTTCAGCCTAACTATTATGATCTGTCCATCCAGAAACAAAATAAGGTTTTGCTTAAAAGTAATAAGTTAGGATTAAAAGTCATCAAGTATCAGAGACATGGTAAAATTTCCTTATCATTTGATAAGATGATAACTTGACCAGATGCCAAATTTTGAAATCCATGACCTTCTTTTCCTGTGGTGAAGAGAAGACAGATAGGAAGAGGAACCACTTTGATGACTGTACCCTATTTATCCTTTGCTTCTGTCCTGAAAGTTTGCTGTTGACCATTCAGAGTGACTATCTGGATTGGACCAGAATGAGCCAGGAGAACTTGTTTTGCAGAGTAGAGATCCACACGTCACACAAATGACCTCCCCTCCCCCCACCACACTTTAGGCTGGAGCTCTAATGTTATCTTGGTCCTTGACAGCCTCTCTATGGACAAACTGACTCCTAGAGAAAACCACATAAAAAGAAGAAAATTTACCCTAATTTCGGTTTCCTTTTTCTCTCACTCAAATTAAGCTTTACCCTCAATACTGTGATCTCATTGTGTCCTTGGTCTTGGACAGCCGTTCCAGCAGGTTCCATGAGCAGTAATGTGAAAGAGGGAGAAGTTTAGCGACTATAGCCATCACCATTGTGAGGTAAAACTTTTTACTCCCTCTTTATATATGCCTCGGACATTTAGTGGCATGCCTACCACACAAGTGGGCATTAAATGTTATCTGACTAACTCATTTGCTAGTTTCACATTCAGCATGTGTGGAGCATATGACTGTAGAATGGGTAAAGCTTAAAACAGATGGACAGTTGAGGGTGATGATCACAGAAGCATTTGGTTTTAAAATTGGAACAAACCTTAGATATGACTTAGTTCAACTATCTCACTTTGGAGACAAGGAAACTAAGATGACCCACAGAGGTTAAATACCTTGTCCGAGGCTTGGCAGCAACAAAGCTGGAATATGAAACTAGGTATCCACACTCTCAATTCCATACACTCTGTACTGACTCTGAAACACCTGGGCTTGTGCTTTGTTACATGTATTGTGATTGTCTTGACAGGTGTGCTACCCCCACTAGACCATGTGTTCTTCAAGAGAATATTCATCACAGGGCACCTGGGTGGCTTAGTGGGTTCAGCCTCTGACTCTAGAGCTCTCAGCTCAGGTCTTGACCTCAGGGTGGTGAGTTCAAGCCCTGCATTGGGTTCCACGTGCATTTAAAATATATATAATTTATTTCATCACTAACTTCTGGCATAGGATTGCAATAAATTTCTGTTAAAAAAAAAACAAATAAATGAGATCTGTCTTTCTTATCATGTACAAATAAATGCTGTGATTTTTAGTGATCTCTGCTAGTGTGTGGCCAGACTAGTAATGAAAAAGGATAGAAAGGATAGAAAAGTTTAAAAAAGTAGAATGAGAAGGCAAAAAGAGGTAAAAAGGAGATACAGTTCAAATAGAAATGTAACTGGAAAAAAAACAGTCCGCAGACAAAACTTCTAGATTCAGTTTGGGAGCTTTTATCAAGACTCTTGCCTCTTCTGATCTCTCCCAATTTTCAAATAAGGACTTTTAAGCAGATGGTGCATTAAGCAGATGTCATCATTGCTGCCCCTCCCCCAGACTCCAGAAGACAGGATGGACAGCGAGTTAAATTGTATAATAAGCAGAGTTGTTCTTGAGTGTGTTCTACCTCCTCTGGTACATCTTCCCACCCACTTGGCACTCATTCCTAACCCATGCTGCTGCTACTATTCTTATCCCGGAGGAAAGTGCGTGTAACTCTATGTGATCCTGTTTCTGGAATATTTTCCATTTAGAAGACACACCAGGAAATACAAAGGAAAATGACTTACAAGGAGGCATTTCAGACTCAGTGGCAAGTGAGCAGAGCGGATGGATGTATATGGACTGGGTTTGTCTCTCCTTACAGATCATCCAAAGTCAATTAAAATAGAAGTGAGAAAACCCAGTTATCATACCCCTCTGTGAGCTAGTGTTTCTCCTGAAATGATTACATGTTGCCAGTCAATTGATACTAAACAATGCCTGTTAGGAAAAAAAAAAAAAGAATCAAAGGATCCAGAGTTCTAATTATAGCACATTGATGGCTTGGTACTAGAGAACTACATCAATATAGGACATCAGTGGAAAGCGATTACTGGCTGGAGGGCTGTACCCAGAGAGTGGTTATCAGGGCTAAGTGTCCATTTCTAGAAGAGCTGGCTAGGCTCCAGTATGCCAGGAAGTCTAGGTGGAAGGTATGAAATGTAGTCTTTTTAGAAGTGGTGCTGCACAGTTGCCAGATAGCCTGGTGAGACCCAAATGCTCCTATGGGAAGAGATTAAGGAGATAGACAGTTACCCATTTTGGTTGGATTGGGTCCCCTTGGCTAAAGCCAAGTATGGAGATCCAGCTTTTCATTCAATATTCCCTTGAGCCATTGAAATTTGGCAGACCCTTCCCATCAGCCCGACACCTAACTACATGAGCCACTCTCTTCCTTCGGTTACTATGATTCCCATCTTTTCCATAAACATACCAAGCACACTTCCATCTTTGTGATTTTACCCTTTACATTTCCTCTTCCTGGAACACTTTTCTCTCGTATGGTCTGTTGAGCAAGTGACATCTGTCTGCTATTACCAGAGGTGGAAGTCCAAGCACCTTCCTACTGTGTCTTATTTGAATTGCCAAGAAAAACACAACACAGTCAAACACTGGATGGAGCAGTGCTTTACTCACGTAGAAAAGAGACAGAACAAGATCAGCTCTAAAAGTAAGCCTTGGTCCTTATGGCCTTTGGGTCCTTCCTGGCAGCTGATTCAGAGCCCTCCGCCTACAGGCAACCAAAGGACCCTGTCTGCTCTTGGCAGGGGACAGACAGAGTATGTGGTTGACCAGAGGTCATGTAGCACACATACTGAAGCAGAACAAAGGAGTACACATTGAGTCTGAAACAGGGAATGATATACCCATACAAGACAATAGCCAGGCACAGAATGTGAGAGCTCCTTACCTATTATAAAGGAAGTGGTCCAGGCTTGAAGCTCATTTTTTTTTTTAAGATTTTATTTATTTGTTTGACAGAGAGTGTGAGCAGGGGGAGCAGCAGGGAGAGGGAGAAGCTGGCTCTCACTGAGCAGAGAGCCCAACATGGGCTTGATCCCAAGACCCTGGAATCATAACCTCTCAAAGCCCATTCTTAATACAGCCGAGATGAGAGTCAAAAGACTGCACACATAAGACCGTCTTTTCCAGTATGTTCCACATGGCTTCTTACTGTTCACACCCCACTACCAACAACAACCTTCTCCCCACCCCAAACCAGATCTTTATTCCCATTTTCAAAGAGGCTTTCTGAGCATAGCCACCTCCAAATCTATGAAGAGAAAATCTTTGGTTGTTTTGATAATTGCAGTATCACCAACATCTACAACAGTGATTGCACATAGTAGGTGTTCAGTAAAAATGTGTTGGTAGCATAGGTCATACAAAGGAAAAGTCTTGTTTCATGATGCCTAGAAATCTGTGAAGGAAAACTTTTCAGATGCTTTCATAGAGCAAGCCATTCACCTACACTGTATGCAATTTACACTCAGAAACCCTACGAGTCTTAAAGAAAGTGATATGTCCAGGTAAGCAAGATAACACCATTATCATTCAGTTCCCATCAGGGCTCCAAGCTACTTTAGAAAACCTGTCCTCTGATTACAGCACTAATTTGTGTCTTACGGAAAATCAAATGAATTATTTTTTTACCCGAAGGGAGCAGGATTATTTGACTTCAGATATTTGCCATATGGCTTCTCTTCCATACAGCATAGCTTCTAGGCTTAAGGTAGTAAGAGTGAAAGCATGCCTATAAATTATTCAGAGATAATTCAAAATAAGTGTGTATCTTTGACAGATTGTCAAGTTTCTTAATGCTTTTTCCTGATAACAAGTGCTATGTGTTTGATAGAAGGTTGCTCGTTTCTCACCACACTTTATTGTTGTTCTGTGTATGTTTTTTGTTTGTTTTGTTTTGTTTCTTGTTGCTGTTTGTCCTTGTTCCTCCCACAGAGTCCAGTCTGGCTCTTATCTCAGCACGGGATGGTTTACCTTCATTCTGGCCATGGATGCCTGTTATGGCATTCACGTCTACGGGATGATAAATGACACCTACTGCAAGTAAGATCACAGGAAATTATGTTTATGCATCTCCAATTCTGATATCTTGTCAAAATATCACAATTCATTTCAATACCATAAATTGGAGAAACAGATAAAGCAACAATTATTTCCCGGTGCTCTTTGCTGACATGACATTTTATTGTCAGTGCATCAAGTTGTGACTTTTAGGGGTGATAAAAAGAAAGATATTTCCACCACCTAATGTCAAATGTCAGAAGGAACAGTTTCCCCTTAATCAGTGGCATAGCAGGGATTTGTGGCTTGGAAATAGAGAACAAGTTTAGTGGTTATTTAATTTGCAAAGCAAGTTTGTCATTTCTGCTGCTCTAACGGCTTGATGGCTGGCTGGCTACTCAATGGTTCTATTTGACCTTAAGGGACAAAATGTCCTGAAGCCTACAGAAGCTAACAGCTTAACAAAAATTCTTGGAAATTATAGTTTACTGATAAGTAATCTGCCGGATCCAGATTTAAAAACATGTGTTCATCCACAGTATATCCTGATAGAGGGATCATTTCTAATTATTTAATAAAATGAACCCTCCTTATTTCATCGAGGTAATGAAATGTATTTCCCCACTAACAACTGGTACCATATAACTCATCATTTTAATCATATTGTCAAAATGGTAACTAAGCCACAGTCTTCATCATCAAATATTTCTACCCTAACTGTAAGTACAATGGAGCACAGATGTACAAAATATCTTACCCTAAGAAATCACAAGGCTTCTTCAAGCTCTGCAAGGGCATCAGGCTCTCTGAAGTTTGCCTCCATTATACACCATTTCCTCCTTCCAAGATAGGTATATGTTTGAATGCAAATGGTGTGATATATATAAATTTTATATGATTTATTAAGGCACTAAGGATCTGGTACATCTTCCTAAAAGCTTTTATACATAATAGCTTTTAACTGAGTTCATGGACAAGAATCATGCATGGGTTTGCAAGTAAATGCATTTACTGGGCACATAATGGATTCTTGCAAATGAATGCTTCATTCTTCATCTCAATTCTCCTCTCCTTTTCTTTTTTTAGGACAGAAGGATATAGAAAAGTCCCTTATCATTACTATGAACAAGGAAGAGACGAGTGTGATGAATATTTTCTTCATGAGCATGCGCCATATGGGGGGCATAGGTTTATCACTGAAAAGAAAGTGTTTGCTAAATGGGCCAAGAATCACAGGATAATATTCACACACCCAAACTGGACAGTGTCTTGATGTTAGTTTTTTCTGATCTTGCCACAACACTTGACGTGATCATAATACCATAACTGTGATGCTGACGATGCTGATGATGGCGATGGGAAAGACAACAGTGATGATCAAGTTTCTGTACATTCTCCGAAACGGATGGTGGCTCTGCCAGTAATTTGAACTTGGGATTTCATGGAGGGTGGATGTGCTCTTTACATTCTTTCTGAAGGTTCAACATTACATACTGCACTTTATAATTTAACTGGAATTGAAATGAAGGCCAGTAACAAGACAGCAGTGACCTAAGAAATGGGAAGATTATCCATAAGGATAGCTGCTCAGAATTCTTAAACAGTGACTAACTTTCAAAAGCCATGGGATTTGGCCTCGTGAGGCAAGGTTGACTCTCCAGTCTCTTGAACTTGAGGAGCTCTACCATCTTGAAGAATGGTTGATTGTCAAACACTGATCCAAGAAATGCTATCTGGGCACAAGTACTGTACCACAGTTACTTGTTAGCCCAGAAGCGGGGAAGGAATCTCTTCCTGACAGAACATGGTCCTAGAGTACCTCCCTCAGCTAAAGCCTCAGGCCATTTCCTAATGAACAAAGAAGATACCATGGACACCCTACCCATCAGGATCCTTCAACAGTTCACTTAATTCAAAATGGGCCAACTAGCAAATCTTGTTGAATTTTCAGTCTCACCACTCCATTCTCACTACCCCAAACAATATAACTAAACATGTCACTAGAGTGATCTCTATTATTGCTTAGTTATTTTTGGTTGAGTCCTAAATATTTTAGAAAGCTATTTAACATGTAAGATACCAACACTGTAATAACATATACTGTGAAAGCATTCTTAAAACATAACCAAAAGGGTTTGCTAATTCTGCTTCAACATCCAACAACACAAAAATATATGCTTTTAAAATCATGAAACAAGGAAAGCAAAGCATATTTTTACATCAATTTGTATCCTACCATACTTCATAATATATATTTATATATTCAAATTTCTACTTTATAGGCTCAGATGCATCTCTCCATCCATTACATTATTGTTGCCAAGTGCCAACTGTTAGACATGGAGAGGAAATGATTCCTGGTATTAAATCTGACAGAGCTTTTGCCTTCTTGGGGTTTATTATCCCCACAGTGTTATCAGTTGTTATACCATAATAACAACACTAATAATGACCTTAATGTCCAAAGTGCTTTGTAATTTAAAGTCCTTATACATATGCTGTCCTATGTGATGCCACCCCCCTGGGCTGTTTTCTGCACATTCTGACATCTCTTTAGCAGATGATCTGTAATTTGTTCATTGCTTTGATATATTCCAGATCTTTGCCTCTGCTAATATTTGTATAGAATAGCATTTATGTAGACTAGTAACCAATTGATTTCAGTGCCAAATACAATATATTATATGAGGATTATGCAGAAAATATCACAAGGATCGTCCTGGCCATAGACTAGGACTCCTGTGAGCATAACTACTTTTGATTTTTTTTTTTTTTTTTTTTAGAATGACTCTTTTTAGGTAGAGAAAAGATAATGAAGCAGGGGCAACAGGAGGGAATGAACACAGAGAAATACAGTTTCCTGTCCCCATCTTGAGATGACATTGTTCTCCATACACTCATTGCTCATTAGATACGAGAGGGTTGATTTGCTGACAGAAGCTGAGAGACCAAAAATATCCTTGCAAATGATTCAAAAAACACAGCCGAGCTTAACTGACAGAATGATTTGGAGAATGAAAGTGATGACGCATTTCACGTCGGCAGCTCTCTGCAGGTCCTTACCAGTGCTGGCTCCCATGATAAGTTCTCAAATGGGGCCATCCTGGGCAAAAGTCTCTTTGCTGCTCTCTGCCGCCGTTTGGATAACACCAATACCAGAGCCAAGAAAATGGCCAAAGGCCATTTCCATCAATACTTCTGTTGTTTCCTTGTGTGCTTTTCAGTTGTATGTATGTCAGGTTTTGTTGAGCGAATGACAGATAGAAATGCCCACTCAAGAAAAATAAACAGATGCAAATGTTTAAATTGTAATACAAATGGTTTTCCCCCCTGTTGTGATACTGAGGTTCCACTTTTAAATAAAAAGGAACACTTGAATATCAGAATGCTTCAGGGAATGACATAATTTATTTAGTATTCTGGTAAACAGAGGGTTAAATCGATTCGTTTTAGTCCTTACTAATAAGAAACTTTGCCCCCTTCCTGGCTCCCCGGCCTCTCCACATGAAGGAGACTTTGCCACGCCACAGTTACGCTGAGGCAGGAGGTGTGTAGAAAAGTCAGTGTTTCCTCCTCAGAGATGAGGGGACCCTCCCCCAACCTTCCTTGCTTTCTCATCCCCCTCTTTTTTCCTTAACTGAGCCCCAACCCCACTTTCTATTATTGTTGTCTCTCGCCTTTTTCTAAAAGTGGGAAACAAAAAACTGTATTCTCAATTTGGAAACCTAATTGGATGATTTCCAGTGTAATCAGCATCTTGGTAGAATCACATAACTTATTTTTCTCTGCAGTCTTAATGTTCTCTGCTTCCATTTCCTGTTCTTCTCTACCCTCAGCTTCCTAAATCTAGTGGAAATACAAAGTGTAATTTCTCCCATATTAAGAAATTTGTCATCTAAGATTTATGGATACAGAAGAGAATGACAAAGGAGAAATTCAAACTTGTCACACAAATTTCTGGCCAATTTCACTGGTTCTAGCCAACTGAAAGTTTTCATCCAGCAGCTAAACATTGAAGAATTCGACTGAACTCACTTATCACTGATGTGTATGTATTCCAGAAGTCAATTAATATCTGTAAAAAACAAAGGCATTTCAATTCCATCCAAGGGTCTAGGCAAATGGACTATTGAAAATGGCCACAATGTGCTGAAATCAGCGTTAAAAACATGCAAGCTAGACATAATAGAGCAAATATTATTTCTAATTCTGCAGAACTCTAGAAAAAAGCAAGGAAATTTAAAAAGAGTTTTAAAATGAATGTTTTGAGACCTAAGGTAGCCTAGTGATTAAATAGTAATGATTTATATTGTTATGATGGCAATGTGAATTAGAAAACTTCTAGACTACATCTTACCTTGCTATGAAACCTATCAAAGAAAAACCAATTTGGAAAGATGTTTGTATATATGCACATAGAGTCAGTGTGTGGGTGTGTGGGTGTGTCTAAAAGCATACCTGTAATCCTATATTTTTCAATGATGTGTATGAATCACAGAAAACCTATTTTAGACTTCAGTGAAATTTGTTGGTTTACATTTTGAATCCTGATGAAAAAATTAAGCAAAAATCCAAATTAAACATACTGATTGTAAAGTGTACGTAAGATAATACTTAATGGCTGGCCCATAGAATAAATCTGGAGAAGCCGCTCTATCTAGAACTGAGAACACAGATGCCACAGTTGTCACAGGTCAGACCTAGAAGGATAGTAGTCTGTATTGTAGGCTCTGACGATCTCAGTTCAGCTCAAGTCACATTGAAAAACACTCCATCAAGCTGCATTCACACTGAAGTGAATGAACATGGTCCCCTTATTCAAATAAGCCTGTCTTTGGCATAAGCAAAACTCAGATTTGCATGATTTTTATTATATGGTTAGAGAACTGTGACCATTGTGGAAAGAGAAAAGTATATAAGGAGATTACTCTTTGAGGATTTGAAACGAATCAGCCATTGTGGGAACAAGATTCTGAGATGGGGACTTTACTGACCTTTCCAGAGGTATAAAGCCATCAGAAGAAAATCTTTTGTTACTATCTTAGAAAAAAGGCAACATTGAACTCTCCACCTGGTTATGTTAATTGGATGCTAATTGTAAGCTCAGTTTTCATTTTAATAAGCAAGATAACATAATCAGAAGGTTTACCTTTTTTTTTTTAACAGCATACCCATCTAGCGTTTAATGTGGCATGTTGAATGCATGGAACAAAACTCTATTACCCCACGTCAGGCCATGGCAAACCATAGCACAATGAATGATTTACAGTCCCAGAGCCATAAGGGGAAAAATGCTTTTCCCTCCACTGCATTGTAAAAAAGGCAAGACCTCATCATTCTAATATGTATTCGTAGACCCAGTGCTAGCTTCGTAAGTATTCGAGACTTTAAGAGCTGGAAGGGTTTTAGAGACCAGCCAATCCAAACCCCCCAGGTCGGAGTTGAAGAAACAGACCTAGAGAAGTGCCCATGGCTATAACACAGACTAAGGGCAGTTCTGAGCCTCAAATTCCATCTCATGTCTCCTCCTCTAGTACCATTTCCATGACCTTTTTTTTTTTTTTAAGCACAGAATGGTAGCTGAAAAAAATGCATAAATAAGCTAACATGGAATCCAAGGGCTTTCAATTAGTAGTGTTGATTGTACTCATGATCAGAGAAACCACACTGAAGTGCAGAAACAGTCACATAACTGAAGGAACACATCCCTGTAATTGTCCGTATTTTCTGTTATCTATGTTTATTGCTAAGACTGCACCACATTCTGTTATCATGAAATTGTAGGACTAATTTAAGGAATGTAAAAGTGAGTATCTTACTTCCTTGTTGTTGAGGATGATCAAGCCACTGATACTCTAAGAACCATTGAGTATGGAGGGAGCTCGGTGTAACTGGCATGTCCTGTTGTCCCATTAGCTCCAGAAACCAAGTGTCCTAATTCTCAGATCAATTCGACTGCCTGTTAGTGAAATAACCTACCTGCACTGGCTGGTGAAATTCTACCCTTTGTTTCCACACCTGTCTCTGTACCACACACAATCTTTGAGGGCAGACACCCTTCTGGAAGGTAAGTCATACCCCCAACGCCCCACAGGACTGAATCATCTGAGATTGAGAGAGGTTTTTTCTTCATAGTCCACTCATATGATACTGTTGGAAGAGGAGAATTTTGAAGCTATATCCACTAGGCTCTGAAAATGGTTTCTTTGACTCAGAGATAGCATATTGTTTTGTTGCTTGTTCCTGCAGAACCTTAGAGAAGCTACTAGAGTAAAATTCCACGTAAATTGCTAAAGCATCAAATCAGAACTGTCCTTGGGCATTGTAACTTTGCAGAAAACCTCCTTTAGTTTTTTTTTTAAGTCCTCTACTTTTTTCCCCCCTTTTCAGAATAGTCACAATTTGTTTATGGAGTAGAAAAGCTCTTCTTTCTCCACAGATATATTTCCCTCGGTTCATGCCTTGGAGACTTCAGAAAAATAGAAGCTCACTTTCATAAAAGTGAACAACATCTTGACGAATAAATAGCCAACTTCATATATTCATATTTTTGCCTATATAGGGAGCAGTGTCTCCTGAGAAACTCCAAAGGGACATAAACCAGGGCATTTCATGGTTCCTTGTTACCAAATCTTCAAAGTACTAATTTTCTTGTGTTTAACTTTGTTGTCATTGCTCCTGAGTAAATACCCATTTCTATTACATACAATATATTTTATGCTTCACTCATTTTTCTGAGTTCACACAGTTTTGGCTGTAGTCTCTCATTCACTTTAAAAACCTGTAATCTTCATCTATTTATAGTAGAGACTGTAAACGCACAGTTTGTGCACTTGGTGAGCTTTTTTTCTAGCATCGTATTGCTTTATTTATAGGCACCATGTCTTAGAATAAAGCTTACTAAATGGCAAAGGGCTACTGGTATATTTCAGTTTGGTTTGCTTTTACAAGATAAGTGAGGAGTTGTGAACAAAACCAGAGAGTATTTTTCATTGAGAGTAAAAAAGGAAGGTAGGAGATCGGGTGCAAGGCAGGAGGAGATACTCAGGATACTCAGTACCCAGGGCAGAAAGGCGTCCAGCGTACTACTACAGAAAATGATGAGAGAAAATGTCAGTCAGCCTCCAGACCATGTTTTGGCGACATTAACTATCTAATGCTGGGGTATATTTCCTTTTTTGCTGATCAGACCCGAGAGCAAGTTGGGTCAGTACATACGTTGCTTAAAATATAGAAGTCTTCATTCTTTCCTCCCTCCCTCCTTCATTACCACCCTCCTTTTCTTCCCCCCACTCCTCTTTTGCTCCCTAATTTTCTTTCTAGAAAACTCAGCACTCTTGAAGTTAAACCTTATATGTGGGCAGTTTCTCATTTATAAATCAACTTCTAGTACTCTACCAAACTCTGTAGGCAACCCTTATTTGGATAAAATCTTAAAATGAGAGTCTTCTTTGGGAATAATTACTTACATGCCATGTTTATCATAGGGCTGTATACCCCATTCAATCCCCTCAAGCACTCTGTGAGGTGTGTTACTATCACCGTGTCACATATAAAGAAACAGAGACACAGAGAGGTTAAGTTGCTTGACCAAGGAGGCACAGCTAGTGATGAAATGAGGTTTTTGAACCCAGGCGGTTTGACCCAGAGTCCATACCAAGTTGGAGCAGGCTATAGGTATAATCAATGATCCCAACATTTCAGCAACTTAACAGAATAAGGTTTGTTTAGATGCTCCTCTCCAACCAGCTTCTCTCCAAGGATGACTCAAAGACACAGGTTCCTCCCATCATGTGGCTTTGCCCACCTCTGTACCCTTGGGAGCCTCTCTATTTGGCCTGCTAATGGGGAAAGAGAATGGAGGATTCTGCATTGGAGGGTTTTATGTGTAAGTCTAGAAGCGGTGTGCAGCACCCCCTCCACATTTCATCCAGGCTCGGTCACGTGCCCTGGTAGAGGTGGGCAATATTGTTCGGTGTGCCCAGGAGGAAAAAGACCAGGGTTTGATAAACATGTAGCAATCTCTGTCATAATATTCTTAGCCATGGTAACATATAATTTAAAAAAATACTTAGTTTTGTGCAACTGTATGAAGTATGTTGATAATCCTTTTTTTTTTTAAAGATTTTATTTATTTATTTGACAGAGAGAGACAGATCACAAGTAGGCAGAGGCAGGGAGAGA